AACCCCCCCCCCCCAACTAATTACAAAAACTTCTTGAGGGAGCAGATGGAGAATTCTAGAAGCTATAGGTGGAAAAAGCCTCCCTGAACTGGGATATGTAACTAGTTTCCTAGCTGGTGCTGACAAATCCACAAAGGTTAGGGGATTGCAGGCTTTCTGGGAAGGGAAACGCACTCCCGTAACCATCATGTGACCCACAAAAGCCAGTCTGCATCCAGGTTCCCCCAATGCCTGAAAGGATTTTTGTTTTGCTCTTGAAGTAGCAGAGATCCTGATTGGCTGCTGAGGAGGGTATTGTTTCTGCTGCTGGACTACCCCACAGCAGAGCTGGAGGGGAAGAGGGATTTCTTTTTCAATATATACACACATTCAAACAGAGAGAACTGGCAGTGCCCGAGGGAAAGGGATGAAGTTTTGATGATGAGCTGCCACGTGCCACTAAGAGTATGTCTTTCTGGTACAGGCAGGCAGTTTCCCTGCCAGAACTGTCCCCCCTCTCACTCCTCCCCCCCACTTTAGTGCTTGGTATTTTCTCATGTGCTTCTTGGGTGGGATCAGTTCAACAGCAGAGCCGCTTGCAGACATCTATTTTAAGTTATGTCAGATATTTCTAAGTGGTAGTACTGGTGCCAAATGCAGGGAATAGGAAGGGAGGGCTTCTGGCCCTCAGGCTGGCAGATCCCAAGTCCAGCAATGCACACATGATTTGAAAATTGACATTTCTTAATCTTGGTCTCAGATTCCTACAAATCCCCTGGTTTAGTGTTTGGGAGTCTTGAGAGGAAGGGCTTGAAGCAGTAATGAGAAGACAAGTAATTAAATGAGGTCACTGGATTTGATGCTTATGTGAACTGACAGAGCAGAGTGGAGTTGCATAGCTGACAGATTAGCTGTTCATTATTAGATAATAATTCCCCTTTGGGGATTTGTGCCTCAGGCAGTCCCTGCTTCTTTGATTTGCTTACAAGGGATTCTGGGGCAGTTCAGGCAGGTGGGGTTGGTTGGAGGTGAAGCCTTCTTGCCTATCCAGAGCACTGGATAGGCAAGAAGGTCCAAACTGTCCTCAGGTCCTCCAGTACAGTGGCTAGTGATATGTTGACGTGCCACGTGTGCTTGTACATCAGTTTTTAAGCAGGTTTTTGTCATAGGCCTTGGACCTGTTTCTTGGTGGGCATAAAGGGTCAACCAGAACAAAATTTCTGAGAAACAGAAGACTTGTCACCTACATGGTTCATGGAGAAAGGAATGGAGAAAGGGATGCATACTGCATTGATATCCATCTCTCCCTGCAGTTTACCAAGCAGAGAGTCTCTCTTGTATCATGGGGTGCCTGTAAATGTGCAGGGATGCTGCTCTGTTCTGCTGTAATTACAGTGCCTTGGAGCAGACTTGATTAATTGAATCTGCTGGAGTATGCTAATTAGCATGCGCCAGCAGCCTCCACATCTCCTGCATTCAGTGTCCCCATTCTTCAAAATGGGCACTTTAACTAAAACTTGTTGAACAAGCTTTAGTTAAAGTGCCCCCCTGCCATTTTGAAGCACGGGATGCTGAATACACAAAATGCTGTGGGCACTTTAATTAGAGCAGCTCTCAAAGGTGCTCTACTTAAAGTGCCCCCCTCTCCCCAATCCCTGAAGCATGTATAAAGACGCCTATGGATTCTTGCCCTAGAGGGCAGTAGTCACCATCACAAGTTCCTTTCCCACCTACAGCAGTGCCACCATAAAACAGTGGTGTGTTCCAGTGCTTGTTCAGTCCTGGGGTGCAAGTTGGTTGTTTCATTCTCCTCGTGCTTCTTTAGCACCTTGTGGAAATAAAAACCCAGTCCCGCAGGCTAGGATGTACACGTGCTTGGGGTGGGGAGCATCAGTTGGGAAGCTTCCATTAGAACAGCTTGGATTTGAAAGGGGCATTTCCTCACCTGGCTCTGGGGGGAATAGTTCTATTAACTGGGAATGTATGTTACTTGTTCTGTATTTTTCCTACATGTCCATGAGGTCCCCTAGACCTAGAGAGTGAGGCTAAATCAACAGCAAAGAAAAAAGCAGTGCACACATCCTTGTGTGGGAGCCACTCATGCTGGGAATGTGAGCAGGAGGAAAAGAAATTTAAGGGTCAGCCTTGCCTTCTCCAGCCTCTGCACCAGTGCTGTGAACAGTTCCTTTCCCTTTTCACAGCTTCTGGAGCTTGCCTGCATGCCCTGCATTTCTTGGGATCTTGATGATAATGGCTTTCCCCTTGCCCTGACAAAATGTTTTTTAAAGGAACTCTGTCCACTTCAATTATGTTTCTGGCTCAACGTTTGTACCTATTCTTGTAACTAGAAACTCCTCCTGTTCCTGTCGGTAGCAGATCAAGCGTAAATATCTGACTTACTTTTTCTGGTTATTTTAATCAAACTTCCTGTCTGCTGTTTTACTCTTCCTTTGTAGAGTCAGATTCTCCTCTTACATACGCCTTTGCTGCAACAAAAAAGAAAGCATGTTAAAAATAGACAAGTGTGACTACAAAACCACAGAAGTAGCTGGGGGATTGAAGCATGTGTTGTGCCTGAGCCATGTTTCACCATTTTTAAGTGACTGCATTTTATGTTACTAGCATTCCTTTAATACGCAGTGGCTGCATCAGCCTCATCTGTGGCTCTTGTAATTAACATAAGGAGATCTTCCTGAAAAGCTATGGTTTGATGAATTTCCTTCCTCCTCTCTCATGTTTAGGGCACTAGAGGTGTTTCTAAAGAAACATCTGGAACGGGGGCGGGGGGCGGGGGGCAGCCATCAAAATGTGCCTCTCTCTAACAGGGGTTCTTGAAGGGACTGCTTGAACTGCGATGCTATTAGCACATGAGAATGCAACTCTGTGTCTTCCTGCCTGCCCTGCCACTCCTCTTTTCTTCCTTGCCCACCCACACAATGTGTAACCTCTCCAACCCTGGATTAGTGCAAAAAAGCCCTCACTGGGGAGCCACATCACTTGTGCCACTAGTGTGTGAGGTGTGCTTTGCAAAGGAAAAACTGGTTTCTCCCTTGGTTTGGATAGAAATCATCAGTGATTAACGATCCTGCTTAAATATTGAACACCTATACCAGGGGTGGGCAAAATGCGGCCTGGGGGCCAGATGTGGCCCACCAGGCCATTCGATCCGGTCCATGGGGCCCCTAAAAAATTTAGAAAATTAATATTTATCTGCCCTGAGCTGCCTGTCATGCGGCCCTCAATGGCTTGCCAAAACTCAGTAAGCGGTCCTCTGCCCAAAATAATTGCCCACCCCTGTCCTATACTCTGGCTGACACGGAAGTCAGGTGTCACTCATTACTGATCCCTGGGCTGGGCTCTTGTTATTGGTTTCCTCCCATTAACAATACAAACCATCCAGCAGGAGATGCAGGAAGGTGCAACCTGTAGGGTGGGAAAAGAGAACTTCTCAAGCTGAATATTTCCAATGCTGGGTTGGGTCAAATAGGCACAGTCCTGTAGGCAAGCTTCCAGCCCCATGCTGACTTGACATTTGAGCTCTTCAAGATGTGAACACTATTGTTGTGATGCTGCAAGCCACATAAAGCATCTGTTGAACACTGGCAGCACCTACTTCTCAAGCTGGCCTTGGATTTGTTCCATTGTAGAAGTGTACTAGTAGAAAAGCATTTTTTCCCTTCTCCCTTGGTGGGCTGCGTGGGATGGCAAGGGGGTCCAGGAAACAGGTCAGTCTCTGGCTGGGCTGTATGAGATGGAAGAGATGTCCCCTCTCCTGCTCCTTGCTTAGGAGCTTTTTGGCAGCATGAATGCTGCATATACATCAGATCACTCAGCAGTCCAAGACGGATCTAGCTGCAGTTACTGCAGTGCAGAATTGAAGGTATGAATTATCTCCCTCCTCCTCTTCTCCGCCCCCACCTCCTCCCAGCCTCGCATTCAGACTGGCTCTCAGGATAGCTGTGTAAGGCCAGCTGGCTGCAGTGCTGACAATAGTGCTTTGGTGCCCGGCAGCCTTGGACTGCAGGGGGCTCATGTGGGAGCTGAGCTTCAATGGCAGTCCTGGCTAGCGAGGAGTGGGGACCATTTGCAGGCAGAGGTTTTTTGTCTCATGTGCAGCTGCCTGTACAGGAGGATGATAAAGTGTGACACAATGCCTGTTTGTTTGCAATAGCCAGGACCCTCGTAGCCTGAATTGCAAGTAGGAAAGAGACAGAGGGGGAATCGGGAGACAAACCAGCGGGGGAATTGGGAGCTGTGACGTCGTGTCTTCCCTCCTGTGCTGCCGCGAGCAAGCGAAGGGGAAGTAGAGGAAAAGGAGAGACTGACTGAGACTTGCGACTGACCTTCATCCTGACAATGTGTCAGTCAAACACCCTGCAGGGACCAGATCTGCACGCAGGGAAATGGTGAGATGCTATAAAGCTTTATCTAACCCTCGTCCCTCTTGCTACAACCTCCGCAAAGTTAGAATTCATGTCCGGAGGCTACGTTCAGGGAACGGTGGCAGCAGCAGCTGTGCTGCGGAGCAGCACCCACATCTGGAGAGTCCAGGCCTGGCCAGCTCTGCTGGGGTCCCATCAAATAGGAGAGCCCGTTTCAGGTACTGTTCGGTGTTTTCCGCTTTGCGGGAACAGCAACCGAAGGGAGAAATGAGGGAGGGAGGGGAGATGGACAGAAGGAGTGACAGCCCTCTGCAAAGCTTTTGTTTGGCCTAATTACTATAAAGCTCCTTATGAACTGAGTTGGCAGGGGAGGGAATGCTATTTCACAGCAAAGGAAACGGATGAGGGTTTCTTTCCCTCCGGTCACCTTCTGATCATTAGGAGAGCAGAAAATGTAGTGAGGGGCTTCTCTGAGACAAGGCCAAGGCAGTGAGAAGCCAGGGGGTTTCGAGCAAGCTGCCAGGATGCAGCTCTGCAGGGATTGGTCCATGGCTGTCTGCAGTGAAGGGGGGGAGAAGGCAATGGGAGGGGAGAGTAGTACCTTGTCCTCGGAGCTCTTGGTAAAGCCAGCTGCCTTGCAAGGCTCTCAGACCTTGGGAGGTGTGAGGATCAGTGGGAGGAGGACCCACAGGTTAACTGTCCCTTCCTATTCCTGTGCTCTATGCAGGTCTCATCTCGTGTAGATGAGGCCTGCTCTGTTTCTGCTGAGAAGACACTTCATCTCCTTGGGTTTTTCTTTCACTCTGCTGCCCAGAATCTTCCTTTGTTTTGGAAGGAAGAAATCACTACCCAGAGGCACAACAGGCATCTCACAGTGGTGGCCATACCACTTGCACAGGTTCTGCTTTAACCTTGCACAGTGTTGGCCATACCATTTGCACAGGTTCTGCTTTAACAGACAGATAGACAGACAGATAGATAGAGTGTTATATAATTTCCAGCAGGAGCCTTCCTCTTCCCAGTAATCCTGCCCTGCATGCAGGCAAGTCATGTCCAGCAGTGCGGGGAGAAGAATCACTCCCTAGTAGTTGCCCAGCAGACCCGAGTGCTTGTCCAGAGGACTTCAGTCCGCTGACATGTCCTGAGAAGCGTAGAGAATAAAAATGGCCAGGCATTGCCCCCCAGGGGACTCTCCTGGGGAAAAAGAGGGGAAGAAAATGATTTGTCCAAAGACCCAAGCAGGGTCTTCTAATGGGATGTGGAGCTTCCTGCTGAGTCATTCTGGCCCACAAGACACAGGCTACTGGTGGCTGTTTATACAAAATGAGTTTGTAATGTAGGTGTCTGGCCTAAGACCAAAAAATAACTCTCCCAGTTTATGAAACCAAAGGCTGATTGGGCTGTGCAGCCTGAATTACCACGCTACCCAAGCAGTGTATGCATTTCATCCTTGTATCATCTTTCTAGGACTGAGGTGCCCTAGAATGATGTAAGACCTGAGAGGTGCCTTTTGCCTTTGGCACTTTGGGCACAATGTGCATGAACTCACAAATGCCACTTGTTTGGCTCTGCAGAGCTAAGAACCAGCCCGCATGGGGCCAGATATTTTCTGAAGTCAGTTTCCAGCAGGCTGATTCCAGGCATATTACAGTTTGACCCTCCTGCTTTTTGTGGTCCAGCATAGGACTTGGGCACAATATAGTCAGGGTTCCTCCAGCTGGCGAGCTGTCTCATGCTGGTAGCTTCTGATGCTGCCCCCTTTTTGGAGGGACTATCAGAAAAGAAGAATGGTAGCAAGCATGAGTTCTTTCCATTGCTGCTGCTGCAAAGAGAAAGGAGGAGAGATGGGTGTTTAAATTTCCCTTTCTCCCAGGAGTTGTGGCTCCTTCCCAACAAGCAGTGCGAGCCCAGGATCTTCTTTAGCAGTTGCAAGAGGGAACAGCACTGTAGGTGGAACTTAGAGCCAGATTCCCATCATCCTACCCCTAACTGACGCCCTGGAGCCCCACATCTGGGACATCACTGCCCTCGCCTTGTGGGGTTCTTGCACTGCGACTTGTGTTCTTTTCTTGACTTGGGCCTAACCCTTCTGCACAAAACAGGTTTTATTCCCAGGCTCCTGAGCCCTGTGTTTTCTGCTTGTGACCTCTCTACCTCTCCCAGCATCAGAGAGGTTACATGCCTGTTTCCTGTCAGGTAGAGGTGCTTCATCTTCAGAAATCTGGGAAGGCTGGTTTCTTCCCTCTCTGGTGATTCCTAGCTTACCGTGGATGTTACACTGCCAACTGGCCTGATTTTCACTTCTCTCAGACCTTTGTCAGTACAAAATGTGTTGTAATTCTCCAGGTCTTCAGACCATCAGGAGGGTATACTGACCCTCTGTTTTGGGTGTCTTTCATTCAGGGGTAAGCTGGCCCTTTATTTGGGAAAGGGACAAGTCTGAAGCCAAGTAAAGGAGCAGGGATGTGCAGAGGCAGTATGTAAATGTAACGGACTGGGATAACCACCCCTGGCTATGAGGAGCTGGTGGTTCTGGTGGTGAGCAGGCTGACCCCCGTGTGTGTCATCTTACAGGTTGCAATTCCCCCAGTTGGCCCTGAGGCGGAGGTTGGGCCAGCTCAGCTGTATGTCTAAGCCTGCTCTGAAACTCCGTTCTTGGCCTCTGACTATTCTCTATTACCTTCTGCCTTTTGGTGCTCTTAAACCCTTGACCAGAGTGGGATGGAGGCCTATGAGCAGGGTAAGTGTGATCAGGTCTCTACTGTGCTTGGTAACAATTGTGTGGGTGACTGTTCTCTTAAAATGGAGGGGCATTGGCAGAAGAGGGACAAGCAGGATGATAGGCAGTGCTATTAAAGCAGCAAGCTGTGGTTCATGTTTCCCTCTCCCTCAAGCTTTTACTTTATCTGTTTGTGTAAGCATTGGGATAGTGTTTCACAGACAGAGGATGAATTTTCAGTAGCATAGAATTTGCATATGGACACTTACTGAGTGGGGTCCCAAGTGGGAGAAAATTGATGGAAAATGTTGTATTCATTCAGACAGTTACACCCACAAATATCAGAGCTGGGCAAAGGCAGGCCAAGCCTTTTGCAGACATGTTCATGTGACCTCTCAGCTGCTGTAATTTGGGCATAAGAAGGGTTTGTGGTTGCTTGTTCCTTAATTTTGTTCTTGGGTGCCTGAAGTCTTAACTGTTCAGATAACATGTGAATGCAAATGCTCCTAGCTAGAGTGGGAGAATGTAGGAAGCTTTTACCCATGGATCTTTCTCTGTATACAGTTCATTACAATATGCAAATAGCACTGAAGTCTTTTTACTGCAAACTTCAACAGCTTTGCCAACTCTTAACATTTACAGCAGCTAATCAAACACCATGAACCTGAAAAGCCAATCAGTTTTAAAAAATAAAGTAGGCACCTTCAAGAATTGTGCATGACCCCAAGTTGTTCTGCCAGCTTGCCAGTGGTTTTACAATCACATATTATTAAAAAAAATCAAAACAAAAAAACCCTCTCCCATGACTGAGAGAAACCCATGAGTTGGTTCCACAGGAAAACCAGGAAACTGTCTTTCTGCAGTGGCTTTCAAATGCACAGAGTAAACAAGCTAGAAAATATTTCTGTCTAACCCTTCACTTACTGTGATCTCAGGTGTTGCTTGTAACAATAGTTGGTTTAAGGTGTCTCAGTCTGAAGTAAGGTTAAGTTGGCAGTGTGTCATTTTAAAGTCACTGGCTTTTATTTCTAGGCATCAGCCATTAGTGCAGGTGGTGATCTGTGAGTGAAATAAATGCACCTTATAGAACTGACAAGGTAAAAGACCACCTCTTGGGAAGCATGAACTGCTGTTCATATTGACTGCTGCCTTCTGCAGATCCTATCTAGGATGGATGCCCTTGCCACAAGGAGTAAATAGCTTCTCTTTGGCTTGGGAAAGAAAAGAGGAACCTTTTCTCTTGGAACTGGTACTAGCTAGGTTCACCATTAAGTAAATTTCTAGCAGACATTTGTAGATAAGTGTTCTCTTTGCAGAACATATTTTAGAGGGCTCTCTCCTCTGTGTGTGATTAAAATATGCTCTTGCAAATTGTTGAGTAATAACGGGTACCACAAATTGCAGGTGAGTGATCCTTGGAATGGCCCAAACAGTAAGGTCTGGCATATACACAGTCTTGTAACCTTGTTGATTAGTGGTTTGTTTTGTTTTGTTTTTTAATCAAAATAGTTGCACTGGTGTAAGTCATGGTGTGGCAAGTATAGAGGTGCCATATACTGGGATAGCTGTTCCTTTTCCTGTAGGGGCAAGAGGATCACTGGCCTTTATACCAGTGGGAGAATGGGAACCATGTAAGGAAGGACTGCACTGCTATAATTATACTGGCATGATGAGAAGAGAACAACTAGCGTGTAAGAATAGATGGGAGTGTGAGAAGTGCTGAGATGTAGGGGTGTATTCTGAAGTGGGGTTCCTTTTGGTTGTTCACAAAGACAAATGAGTTAGTCTGCCCAGCCCCATCTCATCAGCGCTGTACTGGAAAGCTAGAAATGTACTGCTTGTCTGCAACGCTCTTAGGAGCAGTTTCCACTAATTCATGCCTGAAGCAGCAGCCTGAGTGGGAAGAGGGCGCCTGCACTGTGGCTGCCCTGCACCTCACTGAAAGGTGGCTTCTGTGCTGCAGTTGTAAATTGTCTGCACCTCTACTTTTTACCTAACTGCAAAAACATAAGCATCAGAAAAGCCCTGTCAGAAAGGACTCCACTGTCCCTTCCCACACCTGGTGAAATGTCCAGATTCACCTATTTTGCTTCCAGAGCAGGAGTTTATGTCATCCTTCCCAGCATGTCAGTGCGAGGGAGTGAAAGTGAGGTTCTGCTTCTGGCATACTGAAGACTTGAGGGCTAATACATGCTTGGTACAACCCCACTGAAGTCAGGGAAGCCCTAGCAGGGACAGTTCTGTTCAGTCCACTTCATGGGGAAGGCTGAGGGAATGCCAGGGGCAGTGGAGAGAATAGAAGAGCAAAGCATAATCCCTCTCTCTTTCTCTAGGTTGCTCTATACAAATCAGTACCAACACGACTGCTGTCACGAGCCTGGGGACGTCTGAACCAGGTCGAGCTGCCAACCTGGCTCCGGAAGCCTGTGTACAGCCTGTACATTTGGACATTTGGTGTGAACATGAAGGAGGCAGCTGTCGAAGATCTTCATCACTACAGAAACCTCAGCGAGTTTTTTCGCAGAAAGCTAAAACCACAGGCCCGGCCAGTCTGCTGCTTGCACAGTGTGGTGAGGATGGGGATGGGGGAGAGGTTGCATTGTGTTTTAACTCAGAGAGGGAGGTTTACATTGGCTTGTAGCTTCCCTTCTAGTTTGTGTGGACAGGTGCTAAACATGAACTAGCTGCAGGCCAAAACCTGGGAGGGTGGGCTAGACTGGGCTGAATGGAGCTGTAGATCTGTCATTTGCTCCTACAGTTGCTGCTGTTCTTCTTAGTTACATACAGGCTATCGGGGTGAGGAATAAGGGTTGTTACTAGACTACTAGGTTAGTAGGGGGTATTTCTGCTCCGAGTTGTTCCATGTAGACTGGAGCATGCATTCTCATTGAAATACAAATCTGTCTCTTTAGGGGATCATAATGATGTCCACTTCGAATGCCAGTATGAAATGTCTACTTTGGTGCTTCTGGATCTCAGTTATGGGGTGTCCTGCTTGCCTTTCCCACGTAGAAGGGGTCGGGTCTATCCCTGTATGGGGTGATGGGTTATCCTGAGCGGAAGAAAAGTGAAAGCTGCTCACTGAAATGACCATTAAGACTTGTTTTTCTTCCAACTACAGTGGAGTGTGTTGAGGGATGCCTGGATTCCTAATGCTTTTCCTTTCACTGTTTCCTGTAGATCAGTCCCTCAGATGGAAAAATTCTCAACTTTGGACAAGTGAAGAACTGTGAGGTGGAGCAAGTAAAGGGTGTCACTTACTCACTGGAATCCTTTCTGGGGCCACAGATCAATCCAGAGGACCTACAGTTCAGCCAAAGTAAGCTTGCCTCGGCTGGTGTCTTAGTGGGTGTGCGCCTTTTTACAGTTCCCATTAACTGCAGGGAAATGATAAATCCTATTTATACTAGGCTGTACGCACAGACTTTCAGCAGCAGCAAAAACAACCCTGCTTCCTTTTGGCTTAGTGTGAGAAATAACATGGCTCCCTTTTGAGTCCCTTTTCTCCTTAGTACCCCTTCACTCTTGCCAGACCGTGTTTTGTATTTGCTATGATTAACTCATGTTCCCATAGTGCAGGGGTTGTCAACCAGGGGTACATGTACCCCTGGGGGTACTTGGACCAGTCCTAGGGGGTATGCATGGGCGGGAGGGGACGGACCACTGCTGCCTCCCAGGAGCAGGGTCAGGGTGGGGCAAGGGCAGCAGTGCCCCTCTGCAGGGCGGGGAAGCTCACACGCGACAGCCACTGCCATCACACACCAGCCTGGTGAGCTTCCTCGCCCTGCCCCAGCCCTGCTCCTGGGAGGTGCTCTGTTCCCACCTCCCTGCTCCGTGTCTGGCCACGTGGTGCCCCCTTCCCCCCTGCTCAGCATCCAGCCACTGGGGGTATTTAGACTAAAAAAGGTTGAAAATCTCTGCCATAGTGCGTGATTATATTGGGATAGCATCTGATGAAATGAGCTCTTGCTCATAAAAGCTTATACAACTCTTGATTCAATTAATCCATAAGGTGCATCTCTATTCTGTCCTTTATTGGGTTGATGGTGGCTGATTTCAGGGTTTCTCACCTTAATGACAATTCTGAGCTTTTAGTGTCAGACTGAAACGTGCCTGCGTGTCCAATTAAGAGCTGTTATATTAGATCAGATTTTGGCAGTAGCATCACAGCATAGAGACAGTCTCTCTTCTCTTAGGCCTAGAGCGGCTCCTCTCAGGTCAGGGCTTCAGACACTGGGAGGAACTTTGTGCTCTTGTTGCTTCTGCTAGAGCTGTTCTGTGGTCAGGCACTTCTTTCTCCAAGGCCACCAGTCTGGTGGTAAGATGGTTGGATAAACTTATGAGTGAGTAGCATGCCATGAAAAGAAACCCTTTGGAAGCCACAGGATTTTTGCAACACTTATGAAAATACAACCAAACTATGTTTTCATAACCCTGGAGCCTTCCCCGAAATCTTTCTATCCCCAAATAGTTGAGCTGGCTTTGAGACAAGCCCCTTGTATTCTGTTAGCTCCAACCTTCTGCTGCTTTTGTCAGGGGAAGCTGAGGTTCTTTAAAACTATTTGAATTCTTCAAGGACTGGACTTCCAAAATGTTTAAATTATATAGAAAAGGAATCGAGTTGCTTAAAATGGTGGGACCCCTGCATTGAAGCACATCTGTTCAAGATTTCCTACTGCCACATCAGTAAGTGTGGGGTACCTTTAGTGCTCTGCAGTTACCATGGTCTTCTGAGTACTGTATATTTCACAGTGCACGCTTCTCATATGCAGTAGATTCTTTCAGAGGATCCTTTTGTCCATTCTTTATAATTCCTTCCATTTTTCTGTTGTTCCCTTGTAGCCTCCTCTTGTAACTCATTCCAAAAACAGCTCGTCACAAAGGAGGGGAATGAACTCTATCACTGTGTGATCTACCTGGCCCCTGGTGATTATCACTGCTTCCATTCACCCACTGACTGGAGAGTGTCACACCGACGCCACTTCCCAGGTAGGTTCTTACCTCTGGAGACAGGAACACAGAGCAAGTGCTTTGGAAAGTGCAGGCAGGGGCTGTTACTGAGAAAGGCACAGAACTGTGTCTTTGTGATGTGCTTGCAGAACCAGGAGTGAGCTGCTTGTTGCACACATGAAAATCCTGAGCACCACCCTAATAAATTTCTGGGTTTCAGTCTTGCCCATAGCTTATCGTAACCAGTGAGATGAGTAACCCTGTCTCCAAACAATCCCAGTCCTCTCGGTGTATGAAAACCTGACTTGTTTCCATTAAATTTTTTATGGTGAAGATTAAGAGCTTGAAAACGTTCTCTCATAACCTAAATGGGGAGAAGGAGCACTGTCCCTTTCCATATCCACAGAATAAGCAGCAATCTAAGGCATAGTCTCTAAGGCTGGGAAAGGGGAGTTTCCTGGAGGGGGATGTGATGATTATGGGTAACTCGGTCTTTCGGAGCTTGTGAATACATAACTAAACATAGTCACCTGATTGGAGTCATGGCTGGGAGGTTTTGCCCACAACCCTACTCCCCACTTTACAAATAGACACATCCTTCATTCAGCAGTGCTAGTTCTTTTATTCTTTTTTTTAATTACCTAACAACAAAGAAAGGATTTAGACAAGATTTCAAATGCCCTGTGAAAGAGAGAGAGAGAGAGAGACTGAGACCTGGCATGAGTCTCATGGTATCTGTCAAACTTTAGACTAATGCTGGGGTTTCAGAGGGAAATGCTGCCAGGAGATCCATTGTAAGTGCAACAAAATACAAAAATGGCTTTAGCTACAAGCCTACTGGCTCTGGTGAAACCTAATGACTGCTGCTTATGTTCTCCTGTATTGTGTGATAGGTTAGAAGCCTTTATAGTTTCTTTTGTGATACACTTTCTTTTTGGATCCTAGGCCCACTTTAAGCCTTTCATTTCCTACCTGGTGAGCTGCCTAGCTTGTTTCTGCAGCACTAGAGTCATTTCTTCATGCTTTTGCAGGACTGGAAGGGCTACAGATCATGGCTTTCTTCCAGTAGTGCTAGAGATGTGGTCCAGTGAAACTATTCATGTAGATAAAAAGACCTGTTTTGTTTCTTAGCACTAGAACCATTTTGCAGAGTTACGAACCACTAGGACCAGAAAGCCCCTTGTCCAGTTTGAGTTCCACCTGAGCTTGTTTGGGGGCAGTGATATTGTCATGTTCACGCTGATTCTGTGTACATAGATGAAGATGCTAGACTCAAATACTGTGGCTGAGCAAGGGGCAAAGCTTATTAGGTTTACACATCCTTCTATGGCAAAGTATTATTAATGACCAGGGGTCCTGGTTTTCCCTGATTAAAAAAAAAATAGCAAATTCTCTGATAAAACCCCCCAAATCCATTATTAAAATTGAAAGCCCCCCACAGAACCTCCAGCTCCGCTGGTGCTCCTTGCCCCTGCTCCCCCAGCTCTGCCAGAGGGGGCCACCAGTTGCCAGGGCTATGGGGCCAGGGACCCAGGTTCGCAGCCCCCTGCCCTCCACAGAAGGCAGCAGCTGCTGCAACAGAGCATGGAGCTGGCTCCCCTCTGCTGCCAGCTGTGGGCTCAGGAAGGGGGTGGGACCGGCCCCCTGTCACAGCACACATTCCTGGAGAACAGGGGGGACCCATGACCCCCCAGATCAGTGCGCAAGGCTGCCCTACTGCCCTCCCCCAGGGCCCCTGCAGCCCGCAGGTGTGACTCAGCGCTGCAGGGCAGAGCGCAGCTGCATAGGGAAGCTGCTTGCTGCGAGCTCTGCACTGCCTTGGTGACATCTCCCACACATGCAGCAGCAGGGAGGGGCACAACCCTGCTCTGCCACCCGTGCTGCCTGTCCCCCCCCCCCCCCCCCCCCCCCCC